ATGCTGGCTTCATAGAGTTTGGGAAGATTGCCTCCCTTTCAGTTGTTTTGCACAGTTTGAGAAGAATTAGAGTGAGTTACTTGTTGAAAAGGCTGGTAGAATTCAGCAGTGAAGCCATCCAGTCCTGGGCTTTTCTTTGTTGGGAGGGTCTTGTTTACTGATTCTGTCTCCATCTTGGTTATTGGTCTCTTCAGGTTTTCTGTCTTCCTGACTCAATTTTGGTAGATTATGTGTGTCTAAAATCTATCCATTTCTTCTAGATTTTCCTTTGTTGGCAGACAGCTCCTTAGTAATTCCTGATGGTTCTTTTTTATTTCTGTGGTGTCTTGTTATGTTTCCTTTTTTTAATCTCTGATTTTATTGATTTGGGTCTTTTCCCTTATGTTTTTGGCATACAGCTCTTTGTAGTAATTCCTGATGGTTCTTTTTATTTTTGTAGTGTCTGTTGTTACATTTCCTTTATTGTCTCTCATTTTATTGATTTGGCTCTTTGCTCTTTTCCCTTCTTCCTCTTTTTTTTTTTTTTTTTTTTTGATTAGTTGGGTTAATAAGTGTATCAGTTTTATTTATTTTTTCAAAAAGCCAGCTTTGATTTCATTGATCTATTGTATTTTTTTGTTTCAATTTTGTTTATTTCTTTATATCTTTCCTGCTAATTTTGGTTTTGATTTTGTTGTTTTTCTGGGCCTTGAGATAACATTGATGGTTAATGTATTTTATGCCTTTCCAATTTCTTGATGTAGGCACTAATTGCTATAAATTTCCCTCTTGATACTGCTGTTGCTGTACCCCCCAAGTTTTGATATGTGTATTGTCATCTTCATTAGTTTGCAGGAATTTTTGGATTTCCCTTTTTATTTCTTCTGTGGCTCACTGTTCATTCAGGAGCATGTTGTTCAGTTTCCATGTGTTCACATATTTTCTAGAGATTTTTAAGTTGTTGATTTCTAGCTTTATTTCATTGTAGTCAGAGAGTATACATGGTATGATTTTGATTTTTTTGAATTTGCTAAGATTTGTTTTTTGTCCTGGTATATAGTCTATCCTAGAGAAAGTTCCATTAACTTAAAAAGAATATTATTCAGCTATGGAATGAAATGTTCTATAGATATCAATTAGGTCCGTTTAGTCCATAAAGAAGATTAGCTCTCTTTTTTTGTTGTTGTTGATTTTCTGTCTAGTTGATCTGTCCATTATGCAAATGGAGTGTTAAAGCCCTTTGTTACTATCTTATTGGAGTCTGTTCTCCCTTTAACTTTATTAACAATTGTTTTAAATAGTCAGACACCCTGGCATTGGGTCAGATACATTTATTAAAATCACATTTTCCTTTTGAATTGCTCACTTAATCATTATATAGTAGCCTTCTTTGTCTCTTAAAAAATTTTGTGTTAAAGTCTGTTTTGTCTGATAATAGCACGGCTACACCTCCTTTTTAATTTCCATTAGCATAGAATATCTTTTTCCATCCTTTCGCTTTCAGTTTGCACGTATCTGTTGGTGAGGTGTGTTTCTTATAGGCAGCAAATAGCTGGGTCTTGTTTTTTAATCCATTTAGACAGTATGTTCCCTTTAATTGGAGAACTTAAGTCATTTACATGCAATTTCTGTTTTCTATGGAAGTTTTATTTCATGTACATTCATAAATGAGAGTTTTTCAGGGTACAGTATTATGGGTTGACAGTTTTTTTCTTTTAGGACTTGGATTATGTCTCTCCATTCTCTCCTAGCCTTTAGGGTTTCTGATGAGAAATCAGCTGTCAGTCTAATTGGAGATCCTCTGAAGGTAATCTGGCGTTTCTCTCGTGCACATTTTAGAATCTTTTTTCTATATTTTACTGTTAAAAGTTTGCCTGTAATGTGTCATGGTGAAGATCTTTTCTGGTCATGTCTATTAGGAGTTCTATGTGCTTCCTGTATTTGGATGTCCCTTTCTCCAAATTAGGATAGTTTTCTTTTATTTCACTTAATAGGCTTTCTGATTCATTCTTTTCTTTCCATACCTTTAGGAACTCAAGACCCCTATTTTGGGTCATTTTATAGTATTCCATAAATATCAAATGCTGTTTTTAATTTTTCTGATTTCTTTTTTACCTATCAGATATTTCCAAAGATTTGTCTTCTAGCTTGAATGTTTTTTCTTTTTTGCCTCACCAAGTCCATTAAGGCTTTCCACTGTAATTTTTTTTTCCTTTTTTTTTTGACAGGCAGAGTGGACAGTTAGAGAGAAAGGTCTTCCTTTGCCATTGGGTCACCCTGCAATGGCCGCTGCAGCCGGCGCACCGCGCTGATCCGAAGCCAGGAGCCAGATGCTTCCCCTGGTCTCCCATGCGGGTGCAGGGCCCAAGGACCTGGGCCATCCTCCACTGCCTTCCCGAGCCACAGCAGAGAGCTGGACTGGAAGAGGGGCAACTGGGACAGAATCCGGCGCCCCGACCAGGACTAGAATCCGGTGTATCAGCGCCGCCGCAGTGGGAGGATTAGCCTAGTGAGCCGTGGCGCCGGCCAAGTAATTTTTTTTTTTTTTAAGATATATTGTGGCTGGCGCTGTGTACAGTGTGTTAGAGCCCCAGCCTGCAGTGTCTGCATCCCATATGGGCACTGATTCAAGTCCTGGCTGCTCCTCTTCTGATCCAGCTCTCTGCTGTGGCCTGGGAAAGCAGTAGAAGATGACCCAAGTCCTTGGGCCCCTGCACCTGTGTAGGAGACCTGGAAGAAGCTCGTGGCTTCAGATCCGCAGCTCTGGCCATTGCAGCCATTTGGAGAGTGAACCATCGAATGGAAGACCTCTCTCTATCTACCTCTCTGTAACTCTAACTTTCAAATAAATAAATAAATTTTTAAAAGATTTTTTAAAAAAGATTTATTTATATGAGAGGTTGAATTACAGAGAGAGGGAGAGGGAGAGAGAGACAGAGGTCTTCCATCCACTGGTTCACTCCACAAATGACCGCAACGCCTGAAGCTGGGCCAATCGGAAGCCAGGAGTTTCTTTTGGGTCTCCCATGTGGATGCAGGGGCCCAACCTCTTGGGCCATCTTCAGCTGCTTTCTCAGGCCATTGGCAGAGAGCTGGACTGTAAGAGGAGCAGCTTTGACATGAACCGGGACTCATATGAGATGCCAGTGCCGCAGGCAGTGGCCTAGCCTACTATGCTACACTACCAGACCTTCCACTGTGTTTTTTCATTTGAGATAGTCATTTCTTCTTTTCTAATTTCAATTTGATATCTCTTCAAAATGTCAATCTTGTGGGAAAATATTTCCTCCATTTCATGAATGGATATCTTTAACTCATGAATTTACTTCTCATTGCTTTTGAGTATTCAGTAATCCTTCTTTTTAATTCCTTTCAGGCATTTCATCAGTCTCTTCATCTTTATGTTCTAATTTTGTAGTGTTGTGTTCCTTCGGGGGAGTCATTGTCTTCCTTGTTCTTGTTTCTTGTACTTCTATACTTATTTTTAGGCATTTGTGGAAACACTTGTTGGTTTTCTCCACTGATGTGTTTTATCTCTAAACTATATCTCTGTGGCTTAGTGGAGTGTCTGCTACTTCATTGAATTCCCGGAGGTGTGTGCTGGGTGGGGCCAGGGAGCTCTGGTCAGTGCTTAAGTGTGGGTTGAGAATTCGGGGTAACAGCCATGTTGGGCATTGTCGGTCTTCTCTGTTGTCTGCAGAGGGCAGAGTCTGATCAGGCCTGTGGTGTAATCTCAGCATCGGCTCCTCTCTTCTAAGGTGATCAGTGGCCAGGTTTAGCCACAGCAGGTACAGCTCTCACCCACGCGTCCCAACAACTGCATGAAGGATCTGTGCAGTCTTCAGTGTGAACACGGAGCCCTGTGCACTGACGCACTGCACACAGGGCACTCTCAGCATTCGACGCGAGACACAGTTATTGCCCAGAGCCCAGCTGACCCCATGCCCTGTGCAGACACAGAATTCCCACAGTCACAGTGTGCAAGGCTCTCGTAGTTATGGAATGTAGAGGATCTCCTCTCAGCCCACAAGTCTCCCCATCCAGAGAGACAGCGACAATTCCCAGAGCGAACTGCCTGTGGGTGCTCCACCTTGGCAGTTTGTGCTCAGAGCTGTGATCGGTTGAGAGGATGGGAGCACCTCCGAATCCTAAGTCCCTGTCAGCCCTCTCAGCCAGACTCGAAGTCATTGGGAACTAGATTTTTCCCTCTGGTAAAAATACCCTGGCTGCAGGTGAGAGCTGCCGCACCTCTACTGGTATCAAGATAGCACCTTCCCTCTGATTGCTGGGCTTCCTTGTGGAGGGATGTGGTTAAAGAAATGTGCTTCTCTCCCCCTCCCCACCCCCCCAACCTCAGGGCTCCAGGCCAGGCTCCAAGTTTACGCAATCCTCAAGGCCCTCCCTAATCCAGTGGCATAGGCTACCACAGTCTGCGCTCACCTCGCTCTCAGAAGCTGGAGTCTCCTCCAGCCCCCAGCCACAGATGTCATGTGTGGTGTCCCTGCCCACGCTGCTCCACAGTGTCCTCCTTCCTTCTGTAGAATTCCCACTGCAAACTTTCCTTGAACTCTCCCTGGGAATGCATTTCGTCCCTTTCCTTCTGCTGTCTTCCCCTGTGATTCAGAAGGTTTCCTGGAGCCCCACAGCAGAAGGGCACACGTGACAGTGGCGTATCCCAGTGTGTTCTGTGGGAGCAGTGCCTCTAAGTGAAGTCCGTGGGAGAAGAGAGACTCTGAAATCTTTGGTGCAGAGCGTTGCATAGTTGTTTTCATAATGCACTTTTTGTGAAGACCCAATCTATGCATGAATTACAAAATGGTTTGCACCAAAGTTAACATCTTTTGTATCCATTTTCCATGGACTTTTTGAAGTATCTTTATTCTTTATATTTTGTAATATAAAAAGAAGGCAAACTGTTCTGATGTCTTAAATGTACTATAAGTAATATGTAATTTTAAAGAAGAGTAAATATATTCATAGTTACATCATTTTATATGTAATTATCAATTTTTTTCTTCTAGGTGTATCCAGGGTTAATGATAACTGCTGGCCTTATCCATTGGATTTTAAATACATTGAACATAACAGTTCACATAAGAGATGTATGTGTGTTCCTTGCACCAACTTTTAGCGGCCTTACGTCTATATCTACTTTCCTGCTCACCAGAGAGCTTTGGAACCAGGGAGCAGGACTTCTGGCTGCCTGCTTCATTGCAATAGTGCCGGGCTATATATCTCGGTCAGTAGCTGGGTCCTTTGATAACGAAGGCATTGCCATTTTTGCACTTCAGTTCACATACTACTTGTGGGTAAGTAGCACTTAGTATTTTGTTACCACTAATACCATATGACCTTTCTGCTGAAATGCTTTGGGTTGTACACTTTTGTCTCTTAACAGTTTTAGTTGCATACAGATAGCTATCTTACTGTTATAATAAATATAATAAAGGGTACTATTTTAAAATACATTAGGTACTGGTTTCTTTCTTTAGTTATAGATGTAACTTTAATGTTATGCCTGATTTACAGATAATGATTATCTCCATAATAGGGGCTATTAAAAAGTAACTTGTTGATTTTATTTGTTTCTTGGTTTGTTTTCAGAGAGAGGGGTAGAAATAGTTACCTAGGAAGATTGACACATGGTTTGATGGCTTGAGATTTTTATATTCTGTTTCTCAGACTATCTTATTTGTTTTACCCAGTTATTCAATCTTTTTTTCTCTATATGGAATGTGGTGCTACTTAAGACTGAGTTAACTTAAAGTTTATATTCATTATTTTAATTTTTAAGCTATGCTTACATTTCTTTAGTGATAAAATGGCTAAAAATTTTTATATTCAATATTTTACAACATTTAAATGTTTTTAGACAACTAGATAAATGGCAGCGTAATTTTTTTTGCTAATATTTTATGACTTAAAACCACTTGAGTAGTAGACATTTTTGTTTTGACATGTAAATCTAGAAGAGAATGTTGATAAAGCCAATGTAAACAATCTCTTAAGGTTGACTCTAAAGAAAAACACCTATGAAAATGAAGGTTAGGGCAGGCTTTTGGCACAGTGGTTATGATGCTTCTTGGGAGGCCTTTGTCATTTGGTGGAATGCCAGGTTTGTGTTCTGGGTCTGCTTCTGGTCCAGGTAATACTCAAAACATCAGAAAGCATCAGATGATGCTGAAGACACAGGTGCCCTTCCCAGCCTTGTGGGAGACCAGGATCAAGTTCTGGCTTCTGGCTTCCCCCTGGCCCAGCCCTAGCTGTTGGAGGTATCTGGGCAGTGAACCAAGGGATGGTGTCTCTCTCTCTCTCTCTCTCATTCTGCCTTTCAAATAAATAAATCTTAAAAATAAATAAAAAGAGCAAGACGGGTCCCTCCTCACTCTTTGGCTTCCTCTCATCATTGTGTCTCTTCCTCTGGCATGTCCTCGTGCCCTGATGCCCTCTACCATGTGACACATCCGAAGGGGACTGTCACTATAGCTGAGATGTCTGCTCCGTGCTCTTAAACTTCCACACTGCAATAAACATCTTTTCTGGTGCTTTTTGACCAGTGATATATATACACACACACACACACATATTTATTTATCTATTTTAGGAAATACCTGTTCAAGACCTTTCCAGTTTTGAGTTGGGTTCTTTGTTCTTTTTTGTTGTTGAAATTTAGGAGTATTCTATATACTTGTGATATTAAGCCCTTATTAGATACATGATTGGCACATATTTTTTCCCTTTCTGTGGGTTGCCATTTTGCTCTGTTGAAAATTTTCATGAGGTCCAGTTTGTGTTGTCTTTTGTTCCCATGTCTTTAGTGTTATAGCCAAGAAATCATGGCCAGTTTCAGTATTGTGAAACTTTTGTTCTATGTTTTTAAGAGTTTCTTAATTTTAATTCTTACATTTAGGTCATTCTTATATCCTTAGTTAATTTTTTTATGTGATACTATGTGAAGGCCTAGATACTTTTTTTAAATTTATCTTATTTATTTGAAAGTTAGAAGAGAGATCTTCTATCTACTGGTTCACTTCCTAGAGTGGCTACAATGGCCAGAGCTGAGCCTAATCAGAACTAGGAGCTTCCACATGGGTGCAGGGGCCCAAGGACTTGGGCCTTCCATATCCAGGCACATTAGCAGGGAGCAGGATTGGAAGTGGAGCAGCTGGGACTTGAACTGGCACCTGTATGGGATGCCGACGCTGCAGACCAGGGCTTTAATCCGCTGCGCCACAGCACCAGCTCCCAGATTCATTCTTTTATAGGTAGACTTTCAGTTTTCACTATTTGTTGAAAAGATTGTCATTTCTCTGTTGAATGATCTTGGCATGCTTATTAAAACTCACCATGTGGGGTCTGGCATTATGGTGTAGTGGGCTAAGCCTCTGCCTGTGGCTCCAACATCCCATATGGGTGCCAATTCTAGTCCTGGCCATTCCTCTTCCAATCCAACTCTTTGCTCTGGCCTGGGAAAGCAGTAGAAGATGGCCTGGCCGGCGCTGCGGCTCACTAGGCTATTCCTCCGCCTGCGGCGCCAGCACACCAGGTTCTAGTCCTGGTTGGGGCGCCGGATTCTGTCCCAGTTGCCCCTCTTCTAGGCCAGCTCTCTGCTGTGGCCCGGAAGTGCAGTGGAGGATGACCCAGGTGCTTGGGCCCTGCACCCGCATGGGAGACCAGAAGAAGCACCTGGCTGCTGGCTTCAGATCAGCGCAGCGCGCCGGCTGCAGCGGCCATTGGGGGGTGAACCAATGGCAAAGGAAGACATTTCTGTCTCTCTCTCTCACTGTCCACTCTGCCTGTCCAAAAAAAAAAAAAGCCCAACTGCTTGGAGCCGTGCACCCGAGTGGGAGTGGGAGACACAGAAGAAGCTCCTAGCTTTGCATCGGCCCAGCTTTAGCTGTTGTGGCCTTTTGGGGAGAGAACAAATGGATGGAATACCTCACTCTCTCTCCCCCTCTCTGTAACTCTACTCCTTAAGTGAATAAAATATTTAATAAAAAAACTGACCATGTATGTTACTATTTATTTCTGAGCTCTGTGTTCTGTTTCTTATATCTATATAGAGGTACTTCAAATGGCCAATGAAAAGATTGAATTATGAGTATTTTGGATAAAAAATTTTGCAATCCACATGTAGTTTTTCTGTAATAGGCATTTCTGTGAACTTTTGGAAAACCTTTTATACGTGCATTGCACCAAAATAAACTTATTTTTTAATTCTATTTTCCATGAATTTTTGAGGTACTATCATATGTCTGTCTTTATGCCAGTACTATACTATTTGATATTGTACTTTTGGTAGTATATTTTAAAATCATGAGTTGTTGAGTCCTCCAGCTTTGTCTTTTTTAAGTTTGTTTTGAGTATTTGGGATTCCTTGAAACTCTATATGAGTTTTAGGATGAGTTTTTCCTGTAAAAATAAGTTTTTTTAATTTTTAGTAGGGGTTACCTTGACTTAGTAGATCACTTTGGTTGTATTGAAATCTTAACATTATTAAATTTCCCAGTCTGTCAAGATGGGATGGCTGTATTTTCATTTGCATATGTCTGACTTCTTTCAACAGTATTATGATTTTCATTGTATAGGTCTTCCAAACCCTGGTTACCTTAATTACTAAGTGTTTCATTCTTTTTAATGCTGTTGTATATGGAATTGTTTTCTGAATTCAGGTTTCAAACTGCTCATTTTTAGTGTATAGAAATGCAGCTGATTTTTGTTGAGTTTGTATCCTGTTGCTTTTCCAAATTAACTTATTCTAACAGGTTTTTTTGTGGCATCTTTCATGTTTTTTAGCTATAACCTAATCGGAAAACATGGCTTTTATTTTTTTGTCTTGCCTAATTGTTTTTGCTAGAACTTTAGTGCTAGGTTGAATAGAATTTGTGAAAGCAGCATCCTTGCCTTGTTCCTGAGCTTAGAGGAAAAGCTTTTATTTTATGTAATTTTTTTAAAGTTAGAATTTATTCTGTTGTCATGACTAGAAACATTACAGGGCAAGATGAGTAAACAAGACATATAAAGCAAACACTGTTTCTCCCCCTATATAACCAGAAGCAGTATTTTGGAGTTTTTATGATGTGCAGGTTGGCTTTCATTCAGCTTGGATTTAAAGCTGGCAGCAGCAAGTCTTCTGCAATTCAGTTTTCCTTCATGGCTGCTCCGTGTGTCTTAGTTCCTGAAATGCACTGTGAGCGCTGAAGTGGTGTCCACAGCAACATGCTTTACACTGTGAGCGCTGAAGTGGTGTTCACAGCAACATGCTTGAAGCTTTCCCATCTCAATCTGACACCTCTTGTTCAAAGAAGAAACTAATTATTAAAAACTATTTCCCTTTTTGCTAACACAGGCCTACCTTCAGTCTTCACTGTTATTTTATAAAAATAAAGTTGTGCTCCCAGTCATCGATGGCAACTGTCGTACACAGATACCTTGTCTGAGCATTAACTCCCTGAGAGAAAAAAATCTCTCACCGATTGCTTTCATAAACAGAGACCCCGGTATTGTGTACATAATGTCTTTCACAGCAAAAACCAGGTAGTCAGGTAGCCCTGATCTTCTGGCTAGTTTTTTGTTATTTACCATCAGGTGTATTTAAAGCTGATTCTAGACCAAGTATTGTACCCAGGATCCCAAGAAATTGGTCAGTTTTACCTGATGCTAGAGCAAGCTGAGAAATCATCTCAAAGCAGGAAGTAATAATGGCTCCTCCTCATTTACAAGTGGGAGGAAAACACCAAGGAGGAAGAGATGAAAGTCCCCTTGCTCATCAGATTCAGTGGCTGCCTTCTCAGCCTTAGTGGCAAACTCTAGAAGCCCTCAGTTTCCTGATTTGAGTAATCAGTCCATTTTCAAGGTGATCTCCAAGGTCAAGAAGAGGTTTCAGACTTTGTTTTTCTTGGCTCTGAAGCCCAGTCTTTCAAAAAGAATCTCTCCTTTCTTTCTTTCTGAACATCCTGCTGGTAACTCTTGAAGAGCCGGTGCACAGATCCAGGATCTAGAGGCTTTCCCTTGGAGGAGCTTCTTAGCAACCTCAAACTGAAGCGCTGGTCATACTCGGGCTTCGCGTCGGCAGCTTCCTTCCTTCCTGGTGCCATTTGTGGTGATGGCTGCTTCTAAAGGAAAGCTTCCAGTTTTTCACCACTGAATGTTCATGGTGGGCTGTCTGTATGTGCGTTTCATTATGTTGGGATGACTTCCTTCCATTCTTGGTTTCGTGTGTGTGTGTGTGTGTGTGTGTGTGTGTGTGTGTGGTTTTAATTTATTCAGGAGTCAGAGACAGACAACTTCCTGTCTGCTGGTTCCCTCC